AGCACATACAGTATAGAAAGAGAACAATTCAGGCCTAAGAACACTTTTATATCTTAATGTATAAAGAGAAAGCATTTATGCTTTAACTCTCCTCTGTCTTAGAATGATAAAATCGAACAAAAAAGCAGTGAAACACACACACACACACACACACACAACCCCCTCTCCCCACAAACACTCTCAACAAATCCTTAGGATATTTATAAGTAAAAGTGGTGGGCGGGGGGAGATACTATTTATACTAATTATAAACAAATAATGGATGCTGGTTATTTCAATAATTCCATATTGATGAACATATGGGCATGTATTTCTGTCTACCTGATTCACTAAAAATAGTTTATTGGTGATTCTCGGTTTCCTTCTGGGTCATCTTTTCCATTGTCTGGGGTCCTCAGATTGCCTCCCCATAGCTCACTTTTGTCATGAAATGTCTGTATCCTACCAATTTAGCACTTGGCTTCATAGCATTATGATACCACTGTAATGGTCACTTGTCACTCTGGAAAGAAATATTTATAGCATCTACTTGTTGTGAGTCCTTGGGTTGGGGACTGAGGATATCATGATGGACAAGTCAGATCTGCCTCCCAAGCCACACTATTTGCTCTTCATAGTGCCTGTTTTCAAATGTTTTCTCTTTATGAATTCTGTTATTGTGAAGAAAGAGTTGGCAAAAGTGAATAAGCATATTACTTGGAAAATTTTTGTGGAGTGACTTGAGGCAGATTTATATCCAAGAAGTAAGGAGCCCACTCTTAATATTGCAAATATTTTTTCTTAAGATTTAATTTTATTATATTTCTATACTGTTACAGACAAAAAGAGGGCCCTTTTGCAGACCTCTATCAAATAAGTTAAACAAAGAACAAAATCATACCATTTTAAACAAGTTAAATGAGTTAAAAGCCCCACTTAGCCCTCTTATTAAATACATTAAAAGTCCCAGCTGACACAGATTAGCTCCTTAAACCCAATTTAATGTGACATTGTTTATAGCCACAAGGGCCAGCCCTTCTGGTCTAACAGGCACTTCTGTTCTCCTTCAGTAAGCTGGTTGTGTTCACTCCATCTCCTCACCTGGAAAACCTATTCTGTTTTTTCAAGTGCTCAGGTTGTTGGCTTTCAGAGACATCTCTCACTAAGAAGCCTCCCTGAATTGTTCCACCCTGCAGGACCTGATTGGGGCCTGGAACCCTGAGATCAGCACATACTCCCACCCATTTATGACCATCTGGCCCTGTCCAGAGAGTCCATGCTCTGTGCATATCTGGTGCCTTCTACTACACCAGTGCTGTAAAAAGTAATATAAAAATACTATCCTCTCACTTTTTTTTTCTTACTATGGTTGAATTAGCTGAAGATAGTGCCAAATAAATTTTCAGTAAAATTCTATTAAATGAATTATTGCTACAAAGCACTATCAGCATTTCCGTTTGACCCCGAACCCTGCGTGGAAAAAAACAGAGTTTGGAGGCATCCATAAGATAATGGTTTGCAAGGGCATCTGCTCAAATTTTTCTTCTTATCCCAGAGGAAATCTAAAGGAAATGGGTAAATGCCCCTAAGGCTACAACCATAAATTCCACAAGTCAAATCTAATGATTCAAGGGAAGTTTGTAGCAAATCGATGTCTCAGCATAGAAATGGATACAATATCTTTCATTGGAATGGAAAAATGAAGAGTTCTTCTAAGACTACTTTAGGACACTTTTCAAGATGATTTAGCTATTGATAATCTGATAAATTTCAGCTTGCAAAAGTGGGTTTTCAGGATGCATTGACTTTAAAAATCACTTAAGATACTCTGTATGTTTGTTTACATTTATGTGTGTATTTCTGTATATATACATACATGCATAATATATATGTAATATATACACACATATATAATATATATATACTACATATATCTCTGTGTGCCTATATGTGTGTGTATATAAAGAATTGGGAGGTAACTGCTGCTAAACATTGGCATGATAGAGTTTATTAGAGATATCCCTTAATAATTCAAGCAATTTCTGTACACATATCTCTGAAGTACCTGGGTTTCTTTTCAATAATATTTGTCACATAATTGAAAATAGTTACAAGAGCAATATAAAAATATTAACACAGTTTTTTCAAGTGTGGTTAAATATGCCTAATTATGAATATAAGTCATCACTGAGGTCATAAATAATGATGAATTCCCCTATAAATTACCTAATGTAACTTCTGAGTCATTGTACTGTACAGTGAACATTTAATAGATTAACTTCCTAAAGAAAGAGTGACACTGAAACTGATCATATTTAATCATGTTACTAATATAGATCTGGAGAATTCCAAAGCACACAAAGAAGTATAACTGTCAACATGTAGGGTTTTAAAAAAATAATCCATGTAGTTTTTGAGATAAGCATAAATGAAATGACTATGAAACTGTGGTTGCTATTTTGATATGTGGTTGTCATGGGCTCAAAAAGTGTAGGGTGAATATACACATTTATAACATCTCTAGAATTTATGGGCATGCTCCCTTATACCTTCTAACATGAGTGGAATGAGATCCACAAAACCATTTCTGGAGAGTTCTGCTTACTATAATGTATATTTTCACCACCTTACATCATATAAAATACAACTAATGGTTTGCTATTCCATTGTTGCTCTGTCACTCTAACCCTTTTTGGCTCTCAAGAATTTTTAGTCTCAAAATGCAGCAAGTAAATATCCCAATGAAATTTCTAAGCAATAATTTCTTTTCATTAAATATTTTGTTTCACTCTAAATAACACATTAAAATTTACTTTTGATCTTAAAACTGTTACCCCAAAAGAAAATTTGTAAATCTATTTTTAAGTTATAGATGGAGTGTTCTCTCTTTCATCTATCTATTTATCTATCTTCTTTGAATTCTTCAATTCTTCTCATCTTTGAATCCAAGATTCAAATTCATGCTTTAAATAATGCAAGCTGGCCTGGTGCGTTGCTGCTCTCTGGCCTGTGGGGAAATCAGGGCTTCTTGCTAGCATATGGGTCTAGTCCCAAGACTTTAGACTGGTGCTTTTCTGGCTTTGGAGTCTCAGGTACTAGCCCTGAATTCTCTAACTCCCTTTCCTGGCTCTTTTCATTAGCTCTTCTGTAATTGATATTGTAATTGGTGTGAATATAAGGTAAGGAAAAAAAATCTATGTCAAATTAGCAGTATATACACTTCACTGTTCACAAAAATAGACATTTTCCCCCTCTATAACAAAGATAATTTAATTGGTGTTGGATCTTTTCTCCCATGAATAAAGTGCAATTACTAATTGTGAGACATAGTTTAAAATGGATTCTCTCATATTCTTTCATTGCTTACATATATTATCTGAAATTAATGTTTATTGTCTAACAAAAAGAATAAATACAATATATATAAATTGGTATCCATTATTCAACTTATTTTTTTCTTAATAGCATCCTGAATTTAAACTATTTGTCCTGGTTAAGAGCCTCAAAGTTACCTGCCATGCTATCCTTCAAATATTGTTTTTGTCATTTAACTACTTTAAAAACTGAACTTTATTTTTTCCTAAAAAAGTATTACATGTTCATTACAGAAAAGTTAGGATATATTGTTAACAGGCCAAAGCATTTCTTTTCTTTCTTTCTTTCTTTTCCCCTGTGGACTTGGGGATTGAACCCAGGGCCTTGTGTGTGCTAGGCAAGCTCTCTACCATGGAGCTAGTAGATCACTCACTAATAGATCACAGAACTATTAGGAACTTCTTATAAAAACTCATAAAACTTTCTCATTGAAAACTAAAAATTTTTGTTTTGCTAACACTATTTTAGGACCACATAAAGATGTATGAATTGTCTGTAAATTTTTGAAGATAATATTATCAATGTGAGAAGAAAGTAACTGAAACTGTAATCAGACAGTTTCACACAATACCTGCACAAGCTAAAACAAGCACATTGATGATAAAGTGACAACTGCATGACCAGCAGAAAACCGTTCTTAGCTACAATCAACCGCAGTGAGTTTCTGGATGTAGAACCCTGACTTGCAATTTACAGTTGAAGGCTATTGAGGAAAATGTCCTTTCACTAGTGGTGCATCTCCAAACATACAGGAGTGAAGAGAGTGAGACTGGAGGACCCTGTCCCACGCATGGCTGCCAGACACCAGTAATTTTCACACTAAATGGGGAGGTCTGTAAAGCTAGGTCCCATCGAGAAGACAGGATCTTTCCCTAGAATATTCCCTTTGGAAATTTGTTTGAGATCTC